AATCACTGCAATTAACTATTATAAGGTTGAAACCAAATGTTTTATTGTAATGATATTTGGCTTATAATGGAATTTTGGACATTGGGGAACTTATTTATAACAAAAACATCAAAATTTTATATCTTATATTTTTCTAATGTGTGGTAACGTGTGAAACGGTCACCAATGTGCATTGCAGGTTCATTGATACATGTTGTGCTATAGTAATTGGTTTGACATCTTCCACCTATTGTTTTTCTATTCAAACAATGCAATTTTGTTCTCTTCCTTCCACATTAATAATATGTAATTTATTGTCCGTCTGTTGTTCGAAGACAGTGCAGAAGGTCGCATTCATGATTCCTGAAAACCCCTTCTCAACTGAGCAATCAGAAATTTGACAGTTTTAAATGGGACATAGGTTTTTCATTGTTTTTGAATGGGAAATTTCAAGGAAACATACATTTTTGAAAACTGTGCTTGCAGAAGTTTGTCCTGTATAATCACCAGCAGTCTCTTTATGTCTTCTGAGAGGAGACATCCGAGTAATATTTTGCTATATTTACGATTTCCCTTCAGAGGAGACCTCCCAGTGTAAAGGAGTGTATCCTGAAGCTCTGTGACCAAGCAGCGTCCTCCAATCCTTCCCTCTCCTTTATTGTTATTCAGACACGAGGGAGCTCTTACTTCAGCAGCTGAAGCTCCTTGAGGCCTTTCACCATGGTAACAGCCCCTCCGTGGTGCCCAGCACCTTTGGGGTGCTGTGCAGTGTCTGTGATGGCGCTATGGATGCTGGCGGTGGTGTGTGCTGATGGGCAAAACCTGCGATCTAGAGCCTACCATGGGACTGGCCACAGTGGTCACGTTGCTCAATCACTCTAAGGCTTAAATAGGCCTCTTAATTTGTCTAAGCTGCTCTTTCCTCATGGGTCAAGCTGTGGTGAAAAGCATACAACTTTCGTGTTATTTAAATCGTGGGTCCCCAGTCCCCAACCATGGACCAGTATTAGGAACCAGGCCACACAGCAAAAGGTAAGCAGTGGCAGGTGAGCAGAACTCCATCTCCTGTCAGATCAGCCAGGGCGTTGGATTCTCATAGGATCGCAAACTCTGTCGTCAACTGCGCATGCAAGGAATCTGTGTCGCACACTCCTTAGGGGAATCTTATGCCTAGTGATTACTCCCCTCGCTCCCCTGGAAAAGTTGTCTTCCACAAAACTGGTCCCCGGATGCCAAAAAGTTTGGAGACTGCTGCTTTCAATGACTGAATGCACATAAAGCACCCAATGAAGTGATAGTGATGGGCCTGCAGTGAACACTTGTTAAATGTTCTTTTGTGAATTTGAGGATTTGGGTTATAAGAGAAGAGATTAGTCAGTATGTCCTTTGTTCCCTTTGGCAGTCAAAATCTACTTTATACTTCTCTCTACATTACATTAAATAATGTTCTTTGTTTTGCAAAGATGTAATAATAACACATGAAAACAAATATCTCAGCAATCACTATTTGGTATTATAAAAGTATATAGTTCACAAAGCAGGATCATTGGTCATCTCACTCATTAATATTTCATATTTTAATTGCTAATCAATACAATCCTAGTTTTTCCCAATATTTGAATAGAGCCATGTTATTGTCTCACTTTTAACCTCTAGTAACATCCAGAGATGCCCTGGGACTCTGAAAGTGTCCTTCCTGATGATGTCTAGGGTGTCATGTATAAAAGGGTGTGCCTGTGCCTGGCTGCCGGTTGATGGGGAGCGGGGCTGTTCCCCACAGAAGCCATGTCATCATCGCACTCCACAATCTGGGACCTTCTGGATTAGACTAGAAGTAGAACGTGATGGAAAATCATGGCTTTTTAAAATCTGTGATTGTAAATCTCCTATTTCTGTTTTATCATTCTTTTTCCCCTTTTACCTTGAGACTAGAGAAAGCTATGATATGTGAATTAACATTTAATACCCTCCTTCTGAATACAGGCATGCAAAAGAAGGATGCAGTATATAGCTTGACTTGCTTTTCTGAGTTATAACGTTCTTTTGTTTACAGACATATACTGTCTTGGCATACAGACAGTAGGACTGACAGGGAATTTTGCTGGCACTGAAGTCATAGATTTGTGGTGTCTGAACTGTAGCTGTGCTCTTTACTATAACCCTGGGAAAGTTCCTCATCTCTCTAAGTCTGAGTTTTTCATCAGTGAAATGGAAATAATAGCACCATATATGTAGGAAGGTTGGATATAAAGATTAAATAAGATAATGCATGCCAGTCACTTATCATGGTCTTGGCATATAGTAAACACTGAACACATTGTTTCTGTAATTATCATTGTCTGTAAATGCCTAAAATCACATTTAGAAGGACACGTTTTTAAAGCAGTGGATAGCAGCATGCATGATTTGAGGATTAGCACTCTAAAGAGGCATCGTGTACCCGTCTTATTGAAATTTTCTAATAATACTTTACCTGTCAGATGAGTTTCATGGCATTTTAATGAAGTGACAGGAAACAGGAGGAGCACAGTGCGTTCATTTTGTTAACATATAATCCTCCTAGCGAGAACATTCTGTTGTCCCTCGACCTCCTTTGTATCAGGATGGGCATGATAAATAAGAGAAACTGGGAAAGATTATTCTTTCAGACTACAAACAGTTAGAATTACGAATTTAGAGAATTGGGCCAGGCCCAGTGGCTCACGCCTGTCATCCCAGCACTTTGGGAGGCTGAGGTGAGAAGATTGCTTGAGGAGTTCAAGACCAGCTTGGGTAGCATAGTGAGACCCTGTCTCTAGGAAAAAAAAATTAGCTGGGTATGGTGCTATGTGCCTCTAGTCCCAGCTACTTGAGGGTGCTGAGGAGGGAGGATCGCCTGAGCCCAGAAGGTCAAAGCTGTGGTGAACTGTGATTGCACCACTGCACTCCAGCCTGGATGGCAGAGTGAGACCCATGGCTCAAAAAGAAAAACAAAAAAAAGAATTGATTGAGTATGCATAGATTATGTTTGGGTCAGAAAAAACAGGAAACATGTTTATCTTTAGTTGTCTGTTTTATGGAGAGACCAGTATGCTCCTTTTTATGTCGTTATGAGGCTTTGTTACATACATGTAAGAATTGTATTATAGGCCGGGCTCGGTGGCTCAGCCTGTAATCCCGCGCCTTTGGGAGGCTGAGGTGAGTGAATTGCCTGAGCCCGCGGGCTCGAGACCCGCCTGGGCAGCGAGACCTCCTCTCTACAATAAATCAAAAAATCAGCCGGGTGTGGTAGCGCATGCCTGTAATTCTGGCTACTTGGAAGGCTGAGGCGGAAGGATCGCCGGAGCCCAGCAGGTCCAGGCTGCGGTGGCCGGGACTGGCCACTGCACTCCAGTCTGGGTGACAGAGTGAGACTCCAACTCAAAAAAAAGAATTGTATTATAGATTCATTTTGCGGATTCAGTAAGAATTAATGAAGCAATAGTAAGCAATTTTGCTTCTTAATGGCAAAAAATAGTCATTTTATGATAATTATTTCATAGTTTGTTCTTTCGTTAGGTTTTCTATTTTTAAGTTGAAGTGCCTAGCACTCAGGAGTATTAGATATGGTTGTTGTTCATGCAAAATAAGTGAGTTTGTCTGATTTAATCTCAAATTTTTTTACATTTCGGTAATAATTTTTAAATGTGAAATGCAGATTCATTTGTGATTGAGGAAAATACTGTCTCTTTGCTAAGCATAGATTAAATTGATACTTGTTGGTTTTCTCATAGTGTTTTTGCATCAAATGGGAAACTTTAGTGCTTCTAGAGTTGTAGGATTTCCAGAGTCAACCTGGACCATGGAGTTGAACACTAAAAGTATTATTAATTCAGAATGGGCAATCCGTGAGAAAAAAAATGCAGTGATATATTTGGGGAACAAAGGGCAAGAGTCCACCACTGAATAAGTAGTGGGGTTTGCCAAAGAGAAGTGGATATTTCTATTTTTAATCATCTGAGAGGAGGTTAATCCTGGGATTGAGTAAAGTTCTGACTGGTTTCAGTGGCTGGGCTGAAACCCTACAGCTCTTCTTATCCTGTTATCACAGTTTCACCTCTGGCTAGTTGACTTAGAAGTGCACAGTGTGGGTCTCCGTTGAGGATTTTTCTGTACCAACCCCGGTTGCAACATTTTTGCTTTCATTTGTGCAGTCAATAAGCAATTGTGTTCATGTGTGGTGCTGGGGATTTTCGTATTAGAGAACAAGGTCTCCTTTGCCCTTTTGGAACTTATAGCATAGTTGGAGAATGTATATTTGTATAGCACTTTGGTTGTTTTCTCATTTATTTGAGGCAATTAAAAGAAATGGAAGGACTTCAGCACATGAGATCTGAGCAGTCTTTCATTCTGGACTTGGAAAGGTTACACTCACTTGTCTTAGCCCCTGCAGAAGGGAGTGATGCCTGGGGGCGTATTGCTCTTGCCTGTTTCCCGGGACAGTGGCAGTGGGCACAGGAAGACCTTGTGGGGAACAGGGGTGCTAGACCGTGGGGACTCAGGTCTGGACCATAGCTCTGCTGCTGACCCTGGCCTCCTGATCAGCTTCCAGGAAAGTCACCAATTTCAACCAACCACAGATTTCACTTTTGGAAAAACAAAGTTTTGGCCCATTAGATAATCTCTTAGTACTTATCTCACTGGGTTATTTTGAGGCTTAAGGGAGGTAATATTTTTAAAGTGCTCCATATAATACCTGACACCTAATTCCAATAATAGCAGATACTTTTATAGGCTACCTTACAGGCCAAGTGTTCTAGTCATTATATGTGTATTAGTTCATTTAGTCAACCTATGAAGAACATACTGTTTTATCTCCGTTTCATAGGATAGGAAACTGAGGTACCAAAAGGTAACTTGCTTAAGATCATGGAACTAGTAAGTGGCACATAAGCCCTCAGTAAGTCAGAGTTATTATTAGGTTGACAGTTTTTTGAAGTGACAATTTTTGTGATTGTTGCTTTTGGCATGCTGCTTTATGTTTTTCTTCCTTTTCTCTCCAGGTGTCATAGAAACTTCTGATCGACTGGACCGTGAATCAACCCCCCATTATTGGCTGACAGTCTACGCAGTCGATCAGGGTGTCGTGCCTCTGTCCTCATTTATAGAGATCTACATAGAGGTGGAGGATGTCAATGACAATGCACCACAGACATCAGAGCCTGTTTATTATCCAGAAATAATGGAAAATTCTCCAAAGGATGTATCTGTGGTCCAAATTGAGGCATTTGATCCAGATTCTAGTTCTAATGATAAGCTGATGTACAAAATTACAAGTGGAAATCCACAAGGATTTTTTTCAATACATCCTAAAACAGGTATGTGTTAATACTATTACATGAAATGTTCTTTCTTATGTTCTCCTGCTAGGGGAAAAATTAAGAATTAGCATTTATCTGTTGCATACTTTAGTTTTTGATAAATTGTTTTCCTTTTGAATTACTCAAAATAAGCATTTATTTTCAGATGAAAGTTTAACCCAAATGTGATTTTTTTCTCCCCTTTGACTTTGCTTTTATAAAACTATTTCATGATTTTGCTCATTAGTAGACTTTCAGGTTAAAAAGCAAATGTTGTTTCAGTAATAGTTTCTAAATTAGTGATATTATCTCAGTCTTACAGCAAATTTTACTGCTACTAAGAATTTGAATTTTCTTAACTCAGCTGTTTGTAAAGAATATTAAAAGAGTTTATTCCACCATTCACTCATTTTAAATGTTTGTTGTTTTTTTTTTTAATTTTTCCCAGAGAGCAGTGCAGGAGGGGATGAGGATTAAACAGTGTTCAGATGGGGAATAATTACTTTGTTTTGTTTTGTTTTTTTGAGTTGGAGTCTCACTCTGTCACCCAGGCTGGAGGGCAGTGGCACGTTCCCGGCCACCGCAGCCTCGACCTGCTGG